ACGACTGAGATACAAGAATATGAAACTTAATAATAAAATTTTAAACAACTTATAATTTAATTATTAGATTTTTTAAGAAATAATTTCTTAGCACTGAGAGCCGTTGGATTGATCCTATGGTTACTATACTTCATATCTGTAATACTATATAGCTGCTTATATTTTTTTTTTTTTTTTTTTGAGACAAGGTCTCGCTCTATTGCCTGGGCTAGAGTGCAGTGGCATTACCATAGCTCAATGCAACCTCAAATTCCTTGGCTCAAGCAATCCTCCTGGCTCAGCCTCCCAAGTAGCTAGAACTACAGGTGCATACCACCACACCTGGCTTATTTTTCTATTTTTTGTAGAGACGGGGTCTCACTATGTTGCTCAGGCTGATTTCAAACTCCTCAGCTCAAGTGATCCTCCCACTTCAGCCAACCAAAGTGCCAGGATTATAGGTGTGAGCCACAGAACCCAGCCTTACTTTTAAACAAGTCACTAGAGAATCAAAGAATCAAGATTGGTTTTGGCTAGATTTTCCAGTCTAAATACTGCTGAGAATGAGGGTATCACCAAATTATTAGGCTTTCTTTCCTATCATACAATAGTTGGTAAAAGATTTATCTCCAATTCCTAGCTTTGAAGATTTGGTTGATAGTAATGATATAATTTCATTAAAATAATTCCATAAACTGAAACTTAATGTGCTGTTTGATGATGATGATGCTTTTGATGCTTTCTAAATATTTTCAGATAGGTTCAAGATTGTTGTCCTAACTCATATTTTTTATTTTATATTTTTAAGTGCACTTACTGCTTCACATAATCACTTGAGAAAAATATATCCTTTTTCTTTTAACTCAAGCATCTGTCTTTTTTAGGAGAAACAATCAGTTATACTCACATGACAGAACCAATTCACTTAATGTCATGTTGGGGATTAAGAACAGTAAATACTTAGGACATTTAGAGTTCTTGGTGGGCCTGGAGGTACAAGGCAGGATTGCAGAGTGATATAATGAGCTGGCTTGAGTGCTTTAGAGGTTTAGAGGTAAAGATGTTTGCTGAAAAATATATCCTTAAACTTTGGATCTAAAAATTTGATAATGGAGCAGTATAACTGGCTTTCAAGATAACAAAAGAAATAATAAATTTCCATCTATATGTCAGCTATTATTGCCTCCATGCGAATTTTAGTATTTTCTCAAGAGTAGAATGAGAGGATTTTTATAGTAGATATATATATATATATATATATATGTAAAAAATACTTGTATGCTTCAAGATACATCCATTTGGCTACTTCTGGAGGTTCCAGTAAAAGAATTGCTTCCTCTGCAAACAATCACTTGTTGTTAGCAAGTCCTGTTATGTTGGTATTGTTGCCTGCAGAGTACAATATTAAGGCTCTTTTGGTCAAGCAACCTTTTCAATATATAACTGCTTTTCCATCTTTGTTTTAATATCTTACATATATCACAAAGCAGTTTCAAAACCTCTTCTGTGTCATGTAATTTTCCTTAGTCTAAAAGACGTTTTCACTCCTGGAATCTAGAATCAATAGTACTCTATATCCCAGCCTGAGCAACATAGCAAGATCCCATCTCTACAAAAACTAGAAAAATTAGCCAGCTCTAGTGGCCTGTGCCTATAGTCCCATCTACTCAGAAGGCTGAGGCAAGAGGATCACATAAACTTAGGAGTTCAAGGTTGCAGTGAGCTTGGATGATGATGCCACTGCACTCTAGCCTGGGCAACAGGGTGAGACCCAGTCTCAGAAAAAAAAATAGTACTCTATATCATGGTAAGTGAGGCCCCAGCTCTGAGACCCACAGCTTATAGGGCCCCGCTTTGGCCCTACTTTAGCTATGCCCCACCCCATAAGGTGAGGCTTAGGTAGGGCCCAAGGGGTGTGCCTAATTGAAGCCTGTGCCTCATCCCCTTCTAGGCCATGCTCCAGATACCTGGGACCATAAAGTTCCCTGCCCAAATGGCCTGGAGCCCAGTTCCAGGGCTTCTTCAAGTTAGTATTCCTGAAGGCAAGCCATGTCACCATTAATTACAGCCCAACCCCAGGGGTGCCAAAGCATGGCTTTTTGTTGGGGGTATAGATGCAGCTTGGACATGGGGCCTGAGTTATGTGTAAGGTCTTTCAGAGTGTAGTACATAAGAGCCAAAAGTGGGAAGGGGGCAGGCTTCAGAGCAGGGGCTGTCTCTCTCCACGACATCATGTTCCAAAACAGAACCCAAGAAGTCCGAAAATTCTACATTTGATCTTGGACTTGCAGATCTTCAGAAGGATATATTTGTCAAAGTAGAAAGAGAGTTTTTTTTAAGTTTGTAAACTATATAATTTTAAACTATGTAGACATGTTATATGGGCTTCCATTTGTATTCCTGCCCCAAGCACAACTGTTAAAGTAGACCTATCTAAAATGTTTATAATTATTTGACATTATTACTCATTAAATACAATGGTAACCTACAATGGTCTTTTCTCAGATTTTAATATGACTAACTCGCTTTTATTATTCAGGTTCCAGCTTATACATCATCTCCACAGAGAAGTCTTCCCTAACAACATAATATAAAATAGCACTCATGAATCAGCCCTCATCACATTACCTGGATTTATTTATTTCATCCACTGCCCTTATTGATATCTGAATTTGTGTAAATTCCATTACAGCAGAGACCTTGCCTGCCTTTTTTTCATTTATAGACTAACAGATTCTTATTTTATTCCATGGGTTATATATAATGTATAATTATCATTATGTATTGTGTGGCTCAAATTGTCCCAGATCTGGCCAGTATGTCACCCTGTCTTTTCGTTTGGGTTTTTTTTTTTTCTTTTTTAGCACTTCTTTACTTTCTGACTTTACAAGGTATCCCAGGTTCACAGGTTGATCTTGTACTTTTCTGCTCCAGCCCAAAGAGCTTCTATTATCCTTCAGCCCTTTTAATATTCAATAATTACAAAGACCACATGCTATATTTATAGACTAAAGTGAATTTACCAAAGTAATTCTACTCTATGAGGTTTGGCTCTACCTAAGTGGTTAGTGGATACCCCCAGACATCATCTATAGCTCACCAGTTAACTATGGGGAAAAGCAACAGTATTATATCTGTAAATAATATTTTTGAAATAATGAATATCAAAAATTGTTAAATATTAAGTACCAAAAATATTGTGTATTGGTGCTAAGACCTTATCAGATCAATCTTATACGGTAGATGAGGAGGCTATTAGGTTTTTGTTTTTTCTGTTATTTATTGGTTTTATAAACTCTGACACAGTTATCTTGTACAGGTAAATGGAATATTCTGGAATATGATTTATGCCACTATGTACTAGAGCTCTGCATCCTCAGGAAAGTTACTCAACTGTTATAAACCTCTGTTCCTCCTCTGATAAAATTAGAATAGTAGTGTTTATCTCATAGGGTTGCTATAAGATATTCCTAGAAGCAGCACAGTACCTGGCATATTATAAGAGCTTACTAATACCAGATATTTCATTATAGCCCTGTGCAGAGTATGGCTATATGATCTTTTATATACTATGTAAGGAAGAGGCTTAGAAAGTTTCATAGGGCACATGAAGCCATTGAAGCCTTAATTAAGCAAACCAATAATGTTAATAAAACATTATTTAATGAATTTCCTTTCCAAGAATTTACTCAAAAAACTTTAGGAAATTCCCAGTTGCAGGGGGGGAGGGGGTACTAGGAAGGAGGAGGGAAGAATATTCCCACCAACAGCACAGTTGTTCAGCTTCCACTTCTTAATTACCTTTAGACACACAAATATTTTTTTTTCCTTGTTCACAGATGGATTCATTTGCTCTAGCTTCTTTAAACAAAAAACTTTATATACTAAAGATATTGCAATTGATAATATTATCTGATGACTTCGTTAATTTTTGGCTAACATTCAGTGGGCAGATGGCTCATTGAAGTGAACCTCACTAGCTATGTGGTTTTGACCATAACTTGGTTCCACAGTGGTAAACCCCAAACAAATGTTATAATAAGATAACAATGTACTTTTGGGCTTCCAAAAAATAACTTGGAGCCCTGCTAGTGGCAGTATTTTAAAAAATTTGTAACCTTTTTGAATGACAATTTAGCAATACGTAGCTAAAGACATAAAAGTATAGATTTTTTTTTTCTGAACAGTAATTACAACCCTAGAATTTGCCCTAAAGAAATAAGAATGGGAAAATGTATGTACTAGAATATTCCTCAAAATATTGTTTGTAATAGCAGAACATTAGAAAGACCTCACATATCCGATAATGGATGATGGAGTAAACTGCGGTAGAGCAATGCAACAGAAAAGTACACAGCCAATAACAATAATGACATGGATCTACATTTATTGATATGGAAAGATGATCATGATGTACTTTTAAAGGACCATCACAGATTGTAAAAGAGAACATATAGGATTCCAGTTCTTCTTTTTTAGAATATACAGTATGTATTTACATTATGATATACCTATGTATAGTATAGAATGTATAGAAGGTATATGTAGGTATAGAAGGATCTCTATATAAAATATTAATAGTGATTGTGTCCAAGTAGAGAATTAGGGGTAGTTTAAGATTTTTTTCTTTATACTTTTTTATTTTTCAGAAGTTTTTACAATAAGCATGTATTATGTTTACAATCAAAAAATGTTTAAATACCAATCAACCAACCATTGAACCATAAAGAATCACAATATCTGACTTACCCCATGTCTTAAGCACTGATGATAATTGCTAGAATTTCCTGGCATCAAAGAAGGCAAGTGTACTACTTCTCGGGATAAGAAAGGGTCTATAATTTTCAGATTAGACAACCCTGAGATTCTTCGGGGTATGATGCCAGGCATAACTACTCAGCATAGCCCCTGAAATTTAGAAACTTACTGGATATATAGAAAAAAAATCTTTTCCTGGTACAGGTTCTCTTTAACACAGAGAAACAGTATAGGTAATACATACACTGTAGGAAAAAACTTACTGCAGTAGATAATCTGGATGCCAATGTCATTTCCAAGTTCCCTTTGAGACCAAGAAGTGCAGGAACTAAAATGAAAACTTCTGTAACTTTTTTGAACACCTCCCAGTGCTGTAAGGGGGGAAGAAAAAAAGAATCTTCAGACACTCTTTAAAAAACACTTTAGAACAAAGACATTTCAAAAAACCACAGCTTTTTTTCCTTGCATCTACATTTTGAATGACTACACAGGTCATTTATCGATGAGCACTTAGCTTAACTCCATTCTCCTGAGCTTGGAAGCTTTGAGTTACTTTAGAAAATTCAGTTAGAGTTGGGAATGACAGCTGATACAGTCCCTACATCCCATTCTACATCTAGCTTTTACACAACCCTGATACTTTTAAGACAACCCTGATACTCTTAAATTTTACTTCATCCCTTTATGATGGCAAGAATTATACAGTTAGTGGTTAAGAGCAAACTCTGGAATGAGATAATCTGGATTTGAATCTTGCTTCCAACTAATCACAACAACCCCACAGGAAAATTATAATACTATTATTATCTAATTTCACAAATGAAGAAATAAAGATTCACAGAGGTTAAATTATTTTCCCAAGGTCAATAGATGGGACCTAGAGTTGACCTCAGGAGTTCTGATTAGTCGTATGTTCTTATCGCTATTTTAGGGCATGAGCAGAGAGGCTGTAGAACACAGGACCATAAAAGAGCATTACATTGGAAATAAGATTTGTGCTTCTAGGTATTGATCTGTCATAACCTGGCTGTGTGATCCTGGATACGTCACGTATCTTTCTGATCTCAATTCTTCATCCATGCAATGAAGATACTATCCACCTTGTCTACCCCTCAGAGAAATACCATGAAAATGAAAACAACAGATAATGTGCTTTCTAAACTGAAAAGACTGTACAAATATCTTAACAACACAAAGTGATTTTCACAAACGCTATTAAAAGGTGATTGTCCCAGTAAGAGACTTTATGGACCAGGCATATTAATTTTATGCCAAAAAGCATCAAGAATACATGGCTTATCACTAATATCAAGACAGGCAAGAAAAGTAAAACTTCATCAGATAAATGGAAGAAAAATTCAATTTGTTCCGAAAGTTTCCCTAGAGGCTGCTCCAAATAGGTATACAACTGGGGCCTAAAGAGAGTTCAGGAAATGTTTATCAGATCAGTCTTCTGTAAAATCCTGGTTCAAGGAATTGTCAAGGGAAATCTCTCCAGGACCCAATTAAGGATGGGCCTAAAAAAAGCACTCGTGTTCCAATAGCACCCTAGATTTTTAGTCTTAAAAACAAGCAAACAATTTTGTCCATGTTATATTATGGGCCAATGATTCTGGTGTGCTAGTGAAATATGTATCCTTCAGAGATGGTACTGGTGATGATGATGATCATGATGGTGAACAACAGATATTAATAATATCTAACATTCACTGATTGCTCTGCTATGTTTCAGGCACTGTTTAGGCTTACTCATTTAATCTTCACAACGAACCTATGAGATAGGTATTATTTTTATCAGATCCCAGACATAATTCAGAATACATTTTACCTAGGTCATCATTTTAAGACACCTACTGTGATATCGTGACATATATATTTAGTCTTTGACTCTGTTTGCTGGCATACATCTAAAATTCTTAGACTAAATATATCACTAAAGTGATATATTTTTGTATGCTTGTGCTTGAAAGACAGCTGGCAGCCCCTAGGTAGCTTCAGGATAAGGTCTGGTCACCAGAAAGACCAAGCATGATTAGAGGGTTGGGACTTTCAGCTCCTCAACCCCCAACCTCTGGGAAGGAGAGAGGATGAAGGTTATGTTAATCACCGATGGCCAACGATTTAATCAACCATGCCTACGCAGCTTCCATAAAAACCCAAAAGGACTGGGTTCAGGGAGCTTCCAGATGACTGAACACTTGAGGTTCCTGGAAGGGAGCACAGGGAGGGCATGGAAGCTCTGTGCCCCGCCCCCCATGAATCTCTCCATCTGTATCCTCTGTAATATCCTTTATAATACACTGGTAAACGTGTTTCCCTGGGTTCTGTGAGCTGCTCTAGCAGATTAATCAAATCCAAAGAGGGAGTTGTGCGAAACCCAACTTGAAGCTGGTTGGTCGGTCAGAAGGTCTGGAAGCCCAGACTTGCCATCGGGGTCTGAAAGAAGGGAGCAGTCTTGTGGATCTGTGGGATCGGGCACTACCTCCAGGTAGTCAGAACTGAATTGGAGGATACCCAGTTGGTGTCTGCTGCAGACCCAATTACTTGCCTGGTGTGTGGGGAAAACCCCCACACACTGGGTCACAGAAGTCTTCTGTGTTGATTATTGTGGTGTGAGAGCATCACATGCCATCACACTTTAGACCTGTTGGGACGTATTCCTTTGGGTTACTCCCTTTGGTTATTCTTTCCACGTTCAATTCAAATCAAATACTCATGTGAGAATTACTATGTAATCCTTAACACCTTAGCATCAGTATGATGACAAACAATAAGAGCTATTAATTATTGATTTCCTATCGTATGCCAAAAAATTCTGCATTCTTTTCACAACACTGGCAGACGTGTGCTTGCAGATGTTCCCAAACCTTTTCAGGTCATGGCACACCTACCGTCTCAGAAATGTTTTCACGGCACCCCTACAACAAAAGAAATACCTAATGGTCCTATTTATTTAGTAGTTAGGTCCAAACAACTTAACAAGTATTTCTGTTTCCTAACAATTTAGTAGCCATTTGAAGAAATAATACAAATAAATTGAAAGAAAAAAATATTTTATGTCATTTTTATATGATCACAATTATTTACTAATGTGATGTATGTACCTGTTGGGCATTGCACAGCTTTTCAAACTTAGGAATTGGAAACTGTTACCTTCCTTTCTGGTTTTACATTAGTTTTTGTGTCGCTCTTGTTTTGTAATCATAACACTGCTGAAAAGCCAGTTTTGCAAAGCTATGTCATCGAAAGAAATAGAGTGTGACCTAGTGTTGAAATGTTGAGCCTCTTTGAGCTAGTAGTCTGTAGCACATCCAGGAGACGTCGTTGTGTTTCCCTCAAAAATTGAAAATATCTTGCAGCACCCCTGGGGTGTCTCGACACACAGTGTGGGAACTATGGGAACGGTGTGAAGTAGCATAGCACCGTGGTCGGGGGAAGGGCTCTGGAGTCACATTGCCTAGGCTCAAATTCTGTGCCATTTGGGCAAAATAATGCTTTACTTTCTTCATCTAAAATACAGACATAATTGTACTAACCTCATAAGCTTCTTCTGCTCAGGACCATGTCTGCATAAAATAATGAAGTGTTTATTAGCTATAATACTAAGATGCATTATCAGTTAATTTTCCTGTCAGAAGGACATAATGCATAAAAAGTCCAGAGAGGGAATGCTGAGGTAGCCAGTGCCAAAAATAACGTTCACTTACTTACAAATCTTACCGCGATACAATATGTCCTCTGAGGCTACATAGGTTATTATGAATTGCTAAACTTTTCACAAACCTTCCCTAAAGTAAATCAACTTCTTGTCTTACATCTTGTTCGAGAACAAGAATCTTGTTCTTTTGTCAGTAATGCAGAGCCTGAGGTAAACACCCACATGTCAAACATATTGTCAGATTGCTTATATATATGCTAGACTCAAAACTTAAAAATCTATTTAATATCCACAAAAATAAAATTTAAAAAATAATAACAAAGTACATTGAAGAACACATCTATAGAGTTCTAACTTAAAAATAACATAAAATGTTTTTATACATTGAATTGGCAAAAGAAGGTTATGCAATTAAAAAGGAATACAAACCCCAAATCTTTTTATCTGGAGAAATTCTGTCATTTTAACTTACTTTGAAAAAATAAGCCCATTCACTTTTAGACATATGACAAAATGACCAAGCTCACTCATAATTACAGAAATGCAAATAAAGGGTGATACATTTTCATCTGTGAGATCAGTAAAGATCAAAAAGTTGGAAAATAAACTGTTCGTAAGAGTATAAGGAAATACTCTATTTAGGTCTATCACCACTCTATTACTCTGTTGGTGAGAATGTAAAGGTTAAACTTCTTTGGGGGAATTTGACAATATCTAGCAAATGTAAAATACCCCATAATTTTGACTCAGAATTTTACTGCTAGGAATCTGACCTACAAATAAACTTGCACGTGAGTTCAAATACACAACAAATAATGGGTTTACTTCATAATTGTTCATAACAGCAAAAGATTTGAGGCTACTAAAATCCTCTTCATTAGGTAACTTGATAGATTAGCTATGATATATCCTTACAGTAGTACATTATATAGCTGGAGAAGAATTTGGTAAATCTGTGTGTGCCTATATAGAAGGAGCTCCAAGATAAAGTAAGATCAAGGTGAAGAGCAACATTATGGAATGTTGTTTTTGTTTTTTTTAGAAAATACATATATAAATGCACGTACATGCATTTAAAATCTATTGAAGGATATATGAAAAAACTAGAAACAATAATTTCTAGGGAAAGGAACAGGGTAAGGGTGCATACAGGAGGAGAGAGACTTTTTTCTCCTTTGACACCTCTGTCAAAAATCAGTTGGATATATTTGTGTGGGTCTATCTCTAGGTTGTCTATTCTGTGGCATTGATCCATATGCCTATCCATCCTCCAATACCATGCAGTCTTGATTATTTAGCTATATAATAGATCTTGAAATCAAGAACACCATTCCCTCCCATTTTACTTTGCTTTTTCGAAATTGTTAAAACTATTCTATTTGCTGTTGCATTGCATATGAATCTTAGAATAATCTTATTTATATCTACAAACAAAGCTTTCTGGGATTTAAAAGGGAATTCTGTTAAACCTATATTTTAATTAGGAAAGAATTGATATCTTTATTCTGTTGTTTTCCAATCCACAAATATGGTATATCTCTCCATTTAGTTAGATCTCCTTTGATTACTTCGTTTTGTAGTTTTTCAGCATAAAAGTCTTGCACATGTTTATATCTAGGTCTTTATTTTTTGAGTGACTCTAAATGGTATCGTATCTTTATTTTCGATATCCATATATTCATTGCTAGTACATATAAATAGAATTGGTTTTTG